ATATATATATATATATATATATATATATATATATATATATATATACATATTCTCTAGAACTCCAAATGGGACAACTAGATGAGAAAGAGCAAAATCTAGTTGTATATCTAATTATGTTTGAATTCTTTCACTGAATACAAAAGCAAATTTTCACTACAAAAACTAGTTCACATATGTAGACAATTTCAAGATATACTTTTTTCCCTTTCATTTGTTTCCCTTCCTATTTGCTACCAGTTTAAGGCAGTTGCAGGGTTCTCTTTTACATCCCAACAGCAGTGTTTAGTGCAAGACCTTTCTGTAGAGATTATAGTAATCAGAAGTGTGATGTAAACAAAGCCCAAATGGGGAAGAGCTTAGTGAAGGACTCCATTTTGAGGTGTGATTGGATCCCAAGACACAAAGAAAGGCTCTTGGAAACGTTCAGGATATTCCAGGAAAACAGCTAAGTTTTATTATATTTCTTTTTTCTTTTTTTCTTTTTTTTTTTTAAATAACAGAAGGAATTCTGCGATCTTGTATCATGTTCCAACTCATGAAAACAATCACTTTCTAGTTACATATTTAGGGTAAAATCTTCTAACTTATTTTAGACTACAAATTTGGTTTCTATGACCTTTTAAGAGATACAGCCCAATATCCCCTGAGTGCTTTTGAAAATCTTATGGTTAATTTAGAAAGAGGTCAGTGGGATGAAGTTCAACAAGACTAAGTACCAGGTTCTGCACTTAGATCATAACTCCATACAGTGCTACAGGCTTGGGGCAGAGTGGCTGGAAAGCTGTGCAGGGGAAAAGGATCTGGAGAGGTTGGTCAGTGCTCAGCTGAAGATGAGCCAGCAGTGTGACCAGCTGGCCAAGAAGGCCTATGGCATCCTGGCTTGTATAAGAAATAACGTAGCCAGAAGGAGTAGGAAGGTGATACTCCCCCTGCATGCAGCTCTAGCGATGCCACACCTCGAGTATTGTATTGCATTTTCCCATTACAGTAAGTGCACTGAGGTCCTGGGGTGTGTCCAGAGTGGAAAGGACAGTGAAGCTATGATGGGTCTGGAGCACAAATCTTATGAGGGGTAGCTAATGGAACTGGGATTATTTAGTCTAGAGGGGAGAACTGATTTGTATCTACAATTCCCTGAAAAGAGGTTGTTGTGAGGCAGGTGCTGGCTGCTTCTCCCAGGTAACTGTGATATGACAAGAGGGAATGGTCTCAAGTTGCACCAGGGGAGGTTTAGGCTGGATATTAAGAGAAAGTTCTCCAAAAGAGTGGTCAGATACTGGAACAGTCTGTCCAGTGAGGTAGTGGAGTCATCACCCTGGAGGTGTTCAAGAAACATGTAGATGTAGTACTCTGGGATGTGGTTTAGAGGGCAATATTGGTGGTAGGTAGATGGTTGGACAAGATGATCTTAGGGGCCTTTTCCAACCTTAACATATGATTCTATTCTATAAATCTCCAACTCCTCTCCAGCAGAGGTATTCGTGCTAAATATGTTAAATTGAAATACCAGGTAAGAAAGGGAGATTTGACCTTCCACTAAAGTTGAACATTATCTATAAGACAAAAGTAAGGATAAAGCTAAATCTGATTTGCCAACATATGGGCAAAGCATAATTATAGAAAAAAGAAATTATTGCTGGAATATATATATATGCATATATAATTATTACTGTTTTAAATATTTCAGAGGCATTCAATTCATTCACTGTAGTGAAAGGGATATATAAATACTTATTGGATTTCTCATAGAAAAAAATGCCCATTAAAGCCAGTGCCACTCAGACTCTAAATATCAAACCACACATACTTCAAGCTTTACCAGTGGACTCAGCAGATCGTTCTGTGCATCAGCAGTTACATATTCACAAACATATTCACAAACAATTCACTACATCCTTTCATTAGAGAAATATTTAACTTGAAATTGTCTATAGATCTTTAATAATTATTAAAATACAGACTCACCAAGCTGAAATAAACTATTAACAGATTGTGAGATTCTCATAGCTCCTAACATGTATATAATATGAGACCCGAGAACTACTTCTGCAGTCTTGTCTAAGAATGTTATATGTTATGAATAAAGTTAACTGAGGTGCTTTTCACTTCAAAGGGTTAATTGTTTCAACTTCTGCTGGCATTTCGATCATACCTCCAGGACATTTTAGCTGTCAGTACATTTCTGTAAAGTGCATAACAGTACAGGCATGACAATCCTAGAGATGATTTGACAAACTTTTATGAACTTTACAAGCCATAGAAGCTAAAAACATTGTGTTTTCTGCTACATTAGATAAAAACGCCTTACCTTTGGATGGAAGCAGTACAATACACATGAGTAATAAGGAAAGTAAAACACATACAACCACGCCAAATAGTACTTTTAGCCGGGTCTGCAGGACAGAAACAAAAAATTATTACATTTCTAATATTTTCTGAGGTAAACTGTTATGGCTGTCTAATTGAATCCTCTCATTCCTTTTAACTGCTGAAATCCATCCAGAAAAGAAAAAAAAAAAAAAAAAAGCAAGAAGCAAAAAATATCTCCACAGTACATTTGAAAAGACTTCCCTTTTTCTTTAAGGCAAATACTTTCATAACAGAGCCCAGCCTTGTACAACAACCGACAGTTTAAAACAACAGACGCAAATATTATTGAAAGCTGAATTCAGCAGCATACAGACCTTCATTTTTCTGCAGTCTTCCTAAAGAACACAAAGTTTTTTCTGAGAGTTGGTCAGCGGATCTAGGAGAGGAGTTGGAAAAAGCAGTGTCTGTTTTCACAGTTAGAGCCCAAACCTCTGGCAGACTTTTTTTTCCCTACATACTTTTGTAAACTGTGCCAAATTTCAAAGGGTTTCCATAAAATTAGAAACAGGCTTTCGGGGAAGTTCTCAAAGCAGAAATGGACATTGGGCAGCTATAGTGGTGGTGATTATATACTTCTCACCAATGCAAGCTGTAACCAACATCTGGGTTTTATGACTCAACAGTTATTTGATATCTACTGTTTTTCTCTGAAAAGCATCTACAGTGTATTTTGGCAGCCCTCACATTCTCAGGACATATTCATGACCTTATTTCTACTTCCTACTGAGAAATGAAATGAAAATTCAGGCACGCCGTTAATGTTTATCTATAACTCTTTCTTGTTTACTTTCTAAAATAATAAATGATAGCATAAACATTCAAACCAAGAAACATACACAATTTGCTTAACATCTTCCACATATGAAGATAATTACTTTTTTTTTTTCCTCAGAAAACAGTAAACTTCCACATAACTGAGCTCAGACATAACTCTGCTGGCCCACAGCATTTCAGAACAGCGCTCAAGCCACCAACTGTACTTGTTTCATTCAGCTCATTGAAATGAGGTCGCCTGCAAACAGAAAACTGCTGGGACCGCAGCGTCAAGTTACACAAGAGAAGCCTCAGAAGAGTGAAAAAACGCTTGAAAAGAGAAGTTGAAGTTGAAGTTGAAAAGAGAAAAGACTGGTTTTGTCCAGCTAGTCTCAGTCTCGCCCATCAGCGCTGCTGCGAGGAGAAAAACCTCGCGGCACCGCCTCACAGCGGCTGGCTGCGGGCGGGGGGGCGGAAATAGCAACGGTCAGGCGGCGGCTGCGGGGGAGTAACGGCCGCAAGCAAGGCACGCTGCCCCCTGGTGGCCGCACGCGCCAGCAGCTGCACATTGGGCCGAGCAGAGGAACGGCCGCTCGAGGCAGCCTGCAGCCACGCGGCACGGCGCTCCCAGCTAAGCTCTGCTTTCTGCTCTGCTCTCCTTCCCAGCACCCTCATGTGACTGGAGGCTCGTAGGCGTGTCTCACAGCTCTAGCAGTCAGCCAAGCTCAGCTCAGCTTGCATCTTGTGTCCACAGCAGCAGCAACGGGTAATGCCACCTGCCCCAAAAGACTACAAACTAAAATCATTCCCTCTGGCTTCTCTGAAAACTGAAAATAAGGAGATGAAATAATAGTTTCCTGTTATACTGAGGTATCTAGCAAAGCATGAAATAATGGTTTGCAGAGAAAAAAAGCCCAATGTACTATCAACCAAAAGTAGTCAATACCTCAGCCTAACAGAGTGGGCTGGAATTTGAACCATGACCATCATGCTGTCCTTGGTGAGGCAGGGGCTGATCTGGGCCCATCTGGCAGTGTTTTGGCAACAGTCATTGCATTAATCTTGGTGGGCAGTCTGAAAGAAATTCAATTTAGCTCTCTGGAATATGCCCTATTTTCACATAAACTTGTGTTTTCTCGGCTCTTGTCACAACAGTGAAATTATGCAAGAAAATGCTTCTGAGTAAGATCCACTCTTGTCATTGAAATCCAGGAATAAATTTATAGCTAGGTATCACCTTGTTGACATTAGCCATACAAGTAAAAAGGCTGAGAAGACCAAAATACATTGTTCTTGATATATTGTATACGAAGGCCAGAACTGAGCTCAGCAAGGATAGTTTCCTAGCAAGATAATACCAGCTGCTCAAAATTTAAAAAAAAAAAAAAAGAGAGGATTGTGACAACCAGAACATTGCAAAATCGCATACATAGGTTTTGCTCAGTTAATAGTTTTTATTTCCTCTAAGGAACAATAATTTAGAGAATGCCTCAAAGGAAATGACTCAAACTCACAAGATCCAAATGACTTTGCGAAGTGACTATATGCTGCATACTGTGGGTTTTTCTAATTTGGAAGTCAAAATGCACATGCTTCATCAAGATTTACAAACACTGGAGCATTAGAAACAAACCAAAATTTACCCGGCAAAGAATGACCCTTACAAGTTTTGTACAGCTACTGCTCCTGAGACCCTTCTCTGCCATGTTTATACCAGTATACACAAAGAATTAAACGTTAATTCTTTCAATACTACTCTAAAATATTTATATTTTCCAGATGTGGGAATGGACATTTACAGATGTAGGTTGTGCATGACAGCAGACCAAAAGTAGATAGAATAATGTAAAAAACAACTAAAGCTGAAGCCAAACACACAGCTAAACAAATCCCCGGTGACTAAGTTTTTCTTCTTTCCACATTTATGAACAAATAAAAGCTGTAAGTAGAAAATGCAATCATGATTTGTCACACTCCCTGGAGGACTTTGAGTCCATAAAGGCAATAAATGCATAAGCAGCTGGAAGATAAAACACGGCAATTTAGCTTGCTTTTTACAACTTCACACTTCCTGGATGAGCAATAGAGGCACGTTTTATAATCCCACTCGGAGACAATGACTTGAAATGGAAATCCTTATTCTACAAGCCAGCAGGTTTGTTATCCATTATGCTGAAATGAGATTGTATCTTTCAGCTTTGGTGACAACCTGGTTGAATCACGCTAAGAATTGGAAGTGTGACAGTAGCACACAAGTGGTCTACAAGAAGACTAGACATGTTGAATTCAATTATAAAAGAATGAAGAAACCAAGTTGCATATACTCCTTCTTGCTTCATTAAAGTATTTAGAGTTCAGAAGATCTACTCAGTACAGAAGCAACAGATCCAGTGATACAGTTTTACCAGGTTTATAAATTTCCTCAAAATGCTGAATAAACTACAGGTATTTGGAAATTATAGATATATGTTACATTTACACTCTAAACATCTCACAAGCCTTTCCTGATTTAAAAGTTTTCTTCAAAGAGCTGTGACAATTCATATAAAAAGAAATGCAAAGATTATCTGGATAATTACTTGCCAAGATAAACTCTTCTGATATTTAATTCTTAGTATATTTCATAGCATCTTATTTGTCAGATCAGATAATGATCACATTAACAAAATACATCTTAAGTCCCAATGCTCCATGATCTATCAATCTACAGTATCTTTAAATAGTCAGATTCTCAGATCCATGTTTAAAATCAAACCTACAGAATTAAGTAGATTCAAAATTCAAAAGTCCAAAACTTTCAGTAGTAATCAAAATACCAATATAAGAAAGAGAGTAACTTGCTTACAGGACAATATATGAAGGAAATGTTGGTTTGGTTTCTTTTTGTTTCACTTTTTTTTTTTTTTTTTTTAAATAAAATCTAACAAATTATGCAAAACCAAACAAAGAAATTGGAGATTTTATATTTGTTTTGCACTGCAAAATATTTTAAGCAAGGAATAATATTGTGTAAATATTAAAATGTAAAATATATTTTACATAAAAATATACATACACTACCAATTCCTTATACTCTGTTTCCCACTGGATTTTCCTGCTTCAGTTGTATCATTACAATTGTAGAAGTGCAGTGTCTTGAAAGATCTTAATGTGTATAGCCTCTTAACTCTTAATACATCTGACATCTTTTTCTTTTCTTAGAACAATTTCAACCTATAAGACAATTTCTGTAGGTTAAGCACAGTGAATCTACAAAACATCTACAGTAAAAACTTATCAGGATGCACATTTGTTTTATAATACTATAATATGTTTATAAGTAAGTACTTCTCCACAAATTAGCCTGTCAGTTTGACGATGCTTGAAACATGCCACATTTCTGTTAAAAATGAGACACTTCCCCCCCTCAAAATAAGGTCAAACATGAGGAAAAAAAAAAAAAAAAAAAAAAAAAAATCTGGTCCTGATGCACACTTGAAATTAAATCTGATTATAAATAATTTACAACGTATTTATATGCCTATTAAGAATGTAGAACAATACAAATCTAGATGTAAGAAGATTCTTTTTGCTGAGTTATACTCTTTAGCTTAATTGAAACTTCAAAATTTTACCTTGGGCTACTGAAGTGTTTACATGTCCATTCCAGTAAACATACCACTGGGTTTACAAAGCTGACTGTTGTAACAACAAACAGATCTCTCACTCCAATATCTTATGTAAAAGAGAGAAGAAAAATCTGTCAATAAAATAATTACAGTGACGCATTTTGCTATTTTTACAGTCAGAATACCACTATTCCACACATTTCTAGGGTGAAACTGTAGCCTTTTTACTGTCAAAATAATTACAATGAAACAGACTATACAGCATCAAAGTTGGCAAATGCTATTCATTACAGTCCTTTATTGGAAAAAAAACCACATTATTGCATAGGCAGTTTAACAATTGTATGAAACTAACACAAAGAAAGTCACTTGGCATAGCGCTTCGTGGACATTAAAATAATCCGTTTCAAGTAAATTTAAGGGCTTGATTTTTTAAAATGTCTTCTAATGAAATTTTACTTCATAAAAATCTATAAGCTTATAGCTAAAGATAAGGTGAAAGACTAACTCATGAAAACACTGAAGAAACAACAATGACTCAGAAATAACAACCAAGTAATTTGCTCTCTTTACATGGATTCTTTTTTAAGACATTTTATCTTCACAACGGTTGTAGAAGAAAGTAGAACTGAAAGCAATCACCATGGCAAGTCTCAAGAAGTCTGTCTCATGTTCTGTGCTTGAAGACAGGTTACCTAACATGCATTTGAGTGTTGTCAAGCCACACTGGACAGTACTGAGAAGGGAATTTGTTCCATGAATGCACACCACTACAATGCATTTGTTCTTTGTTCTGGAGTATCAGAACAAATTGAAGCAGAGACAGCTACCATATGACTTTGTCCTTCTTCCTTGGGCCTTTTCTCCTCTTCAAGGCAGTTTTTTAAGGAATTCAGGAGCCTTCATAGGGTTTATGATTCAGTGTCTATGGTGCAGAACTCTACAAGACAAAGGAGCTTCTAAACAGCAGCCAGTGAAGATTTTGAAGTCTTTATTTTCATTCTGAGTCCTTAATCTTCATCGCTTGAAGGACAATGAGTTGCATAATCAAAATTGGGAAACCTGATGGGCAGTTCTCCCCATTTCTTGAAAATCTCCTTTGTTGTTTTCTTGTCTTCAAAAGCAACCACGAAATTTCTAATCTTTAGACAAGGCAGGTCAAGACCTCGATAAACCATCATATTTCCCCAGGCCTGTAAGTATAAGGAAACCATGTTTCAGACAC